TGGGCGTGGCTTCCCCCATGCTCCCCTTCCGCCATCCCGATGCCGGCTACCGTATCCCTCCCCCTCCCTCCCCCCCATCCTATGGCCACTTAGTCATACTCCTCCTCCTCGCGGACCCCCCCGATTTTTGGCGGCGCTCCCCTACGATTCATCCTTTCAGTGTCTCTCCTATGATCCATCGATCCCCCCAAAGACTCCCGATTTTTTGCGGAATCTCTGCCAGCTTGCCCTCTCACCGGGGCCCGAAAAAAAATTCTGGGAATTCAGCGGAATTTGCTAATTTTTCGTGTTATTTGCTGATTTTTCTCAGGTTTTCTTGCTCCTCTCGACCGTTCTCTTGCTTTACCTCTGTCTCTCTTGCTCCGTATCTAACTTTCAGTCTCTCTCTGTCTCGCTCACACCCGCTCTTTCTCTCTCTCGCTCTCTCTCAACTACTTTCGAACTGAAGGGAATCTTTGCTATCTTCCATAAAGATATATTTACGCTGCTCTCCGCCGTTGGTTCGTTCACGCATTAATGGAAGCCGATGATTTATGTCGATTTTCAGGTGCTTCATCCCTTCCCCTCGGCCTATTCGCGACGAGTTTCTCTGTGGAATCACTGCTGGGGCCGATGGCGGCTACAGCAACAGCTTCCGCTGCCACCACGGCCCAAGGACAACCAAGCAGTACGTCATTTGGTGTATATAGTCGTTTGCTGCCTTCTCGGTTCCTTTGATCGTTCCCAAAAATATTCTGATATCTTTCATAACCTATTTTTTGACGAAAACCTAGAAAATAGGGAGCTCCGGGCATGCTAGCAGTGTTTATTGGGGGCTTTTAAAGGACCTGGAAAGCCGATCAGCCAATTATCGTGTGTTTGCGTTTTAAAGGGCCGTAGAAGGCAGAAAAAGACAAAGTATAGAGGCTGAAATTCCACCACAGGGAGGATTTTGCCTTTAAAGCCCTGTTAACAATAAAGCTTGCAAGTCTGGCGGTGCGCACGCCATACGGCACAACTTCAAGAAGTGTCTTTGCTTCTCTCTCTTTCTCTTTGTCTCTCTCTATCTCTCGCTCTTCTAAGGACCTGCTTATCGGCTGTGTCTTTCCATTGGCGGCCTATTGCCATCCGCTTTCAAGTGTCCCATTTCGGGAGTCCCAACTCTTCACTCCCCTCCCCCCACATCGCCAATAGATAACAATGGCAGACGCGGCTGAGGACCCCGAGAATCAAAGCTAGAACCCCGGCCGAAGCGCCCAATTCGGCTTTCTAGGGCTTTAAAGGGGTTTGGAAGTCTCGGAATTGACCCGAAATTGCAGAAAATAGCTCATAACTTTCTAGTTCAATTTACGGTTGGGCTAAAATTTTTATATAATATTTGGAAGCCAAAACTCCAGTTCTACACAAAATTTCAGTCAATAATATTGTAATTTGAAAAAGTCACAGATAAGAATTGTTTAGACATGCTAAATTTTCACTTTTTTTTTGTTTTTATGCCATAATTTTTTAATATTACGATATTTTGGCCTGAATTTTTAATAGGTAGAGTAGTTTTTGCTTTTTTGCATTCACTTTTCATTTCATCCAAAATATCAAAAATTCAAATTAAGCTAAACAAGAGTTAAAAAAATATTTTGTCGTTTTTAAGGCAGAAATTTCAAAAATTACTATATTTATGCCTGAAAATATTCGGGCTGATAGCTGCTGCTGTTTTATATCTACAGTAAAAATCTCTAACAAATCAAAAAATAATATAAAAAAGTTACAGTATCTTTTGCAGGCCGAATCCTGCTTGACGTGCCGTGTCGTGTCTGCCATGACCATTCTTCCGGCAAGCATTATGCCGTTTTTGCGTGTGATGGCTGTGCCGGGTTTTTCAAGTTTGTAGTTTGTAGTTTCATTAATTAATTTTATTTTAGACGCTCTATCCGACGGCATCGTCAATATGTATGCAAAAATAAGGGGGCCGGGGAGGAGGGACGGTGTTTGGTCGATAAAACTCATCGGAATCAGTGCAGGTTCGTGGATTTAAGAACTTTCTGGCTTCAGCGTTCAAAGTCATAATTTTTATTTTAAATGTAATTTTTGTACATTAGAAATTGTTTTAAAGGGGCTAGAAACGTGAAAATCGAGTGCTCCAACGTAATTTTTAGCTTTTTTGGAGACGGCATCGATTTTCGCTTTAATTTTCACGGTATGAAGGCAAATATTGGGTCCAAAACTTTGAATTTGACTTTCTGACTTCTCCGGCCCGTTGATTTCATATTCAAACCCCGCTGACCACCCACCACTTTTTCGCATAGAATACCGTACCGTTAAATGCATTTTTCGACCCTATTTCGATGCGTTTTTGCCATTGTCCCGATAGCTATTGACTGGCCATTCCGGGGGGACACCCATTGACGCTCGGGCTGGCCATTGGAATGTCGCGGAAAGGGGGGGGGGGGGGGGAGGGGCCATAAAAACTGGCCGATTGACACCTGCTTATGTCCATGGCCAGACTGTCAAAAGGGCAACTCGGAATAGGGGTACTCATGGATTTGAATTTGAGGCTTTAGGATACAGACGCTCTAAAAGTTGCCTCGGCTACCGTATCCTCGAAAAGAGGAACCTAGCAGAGACGATTGAAGAGCCCGGTTCTTTCGTCTAAACTCTGCCCAAGCTACCGTAACCCTCACAAACCGAGTTATCGCTTCTGGGCTAGAAGTTGCCCCAACGACAGTACCCTGTCTTTCTGGCCAAGTCACCGCCTGGCACCTGTGAACACTCGAAAATCGGGGTCGAGTAGGGGGATGGGGGTGGTCAAACGATGACCCGGCTACAGTAACCCATTGAAAAGGCAGATGTACAGAGTATGGAAACGGAATACCCGCCGGTCATTTCCATCCATGCTCTCAGTTCCACTCGAGTGTTTGCTAGATTGCCCCCAATTTTGGAACGGAGAGCGAGAAAGAAGGATGGAGAGAGCGAGAGAGAGAGAGAGAAAGAGAGAGAGAGAGAGACAGCGGAGAGAGAGTGCTCGTAATCAGGCATTTAAAATTGATTAGAATTTTTAAATGAAAGTATAGGCAAATTAGATCTTGAAAGCTTGGAATTTCGGTATTTTAAAGGAGCATGGAAGCCAAGAATTGCTGGATTTTTTATGGATTTGTGGCTGAAATCTGAATTTCTAAATTAAACCGTGAGTAAAGCGTCAAAAATCGTCAAAAGTTTAAAATTTCAGGTAACAAAAATTAAATTTCGATTTGCAGGGCATGCCGATTGCGAAGATGCCTCGAGGTGGGGATGAACAAGGAGGCCGTACAACACGAGAGAGGTAATAATACAAATGTTGATTCCTCATGGCCGATTGGTAGTGTCTTTGCTTACCAGTCTTAGGGTCCGGGTTCGATCCCCATGGGGCCCAACTTTTTGCTTTTTGGCCAAAATATCGATTTCTATTTCAGGACCCAGAAATTCCACCCTACAACGCCGCGCCAATCTTCATCAACAGTTACACGGGCTTTTTCCGGGATTTAGCCTGGATTCGAAGTCACAGGTGAATTTATAAGTCGGCTTTGGCTTGGCTTCGACTTAGCTGAAGCTCAGAATCAAGCTTAGGCTTAGGTTCGTTAGGCCAGACGCTCTCCCCCCCCCCCCCCCCCCCTACTCTAAAATTCACCCTAGCTACCGTACCCCTTGGTGTCTCTGCACTTATTGCCCTCGGCCGTGTTGGCCTTCTCGGAAAATCAAATATTCGCGTCCCTTGCCGGCGTGAGTGTCGGGCCTTATTAATTTCCTTCCCACACATCCATCTTCTAGTGGAAGAGGGAAGGGAAGGCATACGGTAGCCAAAGGGGGCACATTATAGCATGGCTGGGACTGGAGGAACTGGAAGAGATCAAGATTTAGGGGAGAAAAAATATTCTGGAAAATTCTGGAAAACCATCTTTGCTGGTTGGGTATCGTAGCTGCGTCACCGCTATGGACTGGTGACCAGGATTTTTCTCAAAGAGTGTCTGCTAGCTGGCCTTGGCTTGTCGATTCCTAAAACTATAAATGCGAGCCGAATTTTCCTCAAAAATCTCTGCTAGCTAGCTTCGCGTGGAAAAACCTAAATGATCACTGTTGACGAATCCATTTCCATAAGAATCCCTGCTAACTACCTCTCTTGATCTGGCTACCGTAACCCAAACCTATACCGCGGCCCCCGTCAATAGGCCAATGTTGACGTCGGATCCTATTTTTCTGTCCGCCTGACACCCAATTTACCTTTTTGCCTTCGTGTCTGTCCGTCTGTATGTTTGTCTGTCTCTCTCTCTCTCTCGCTCTCTCTCTCTCATCCGACTCGAATTATCGTCGGCTTAACTGTTCGTTGGGGGCGGGCGCCGTTTGGTGGATTATCTAACAGGCGCTGAACGGCCCCGTCAAACCGTCAAATGGTATCGCTGTGGAAATTTGAGGGGATGGTAGTTTACATGAAAATTTATGTAGAAATTGGGAAAAAGCTCAATAATAACTGTCATAATTATAAAATAAATCATGATCTTTTCAAAAAATGTGAAATATACGGCGAATTTCAGCTCCTCCCCGACTCTGGGCCGCCGTCTCCAAGGAGTTCGGCCCTGGGTCTCCCCTCTCCCCTTCCACAATCCATTCGACAACCCGAGACATCACTCCCAGAGGCAAGCTAGCAGAGACCATTCAGGAATTCTTGATTTTAGATGGCCGCCCGCGTGTTCTTCCAAATGATCACGTGGACACGGATGCAAATCCCGTTCGTGGCAATGCCAAGGAATGAACAGGTTAGAATCTGGCGGAAAATTTACTTGGATGGATGTTTAAAATATTTTTAAATTTAATTCTATTTTTTAAGTTAGAAAAAGGTATGTAAAGTTATATCTATGACACTCTAAATATAAATTTAGCATTAATTTTTTTAGACAATCGCCCTACAAGAAGGATGGTGTCCGTTGTTTGTACTTTGTAGCGCCGAGAGTCGTACTGTAACGGCCAGACAAATCAGGGAATGGCCGACGGAAATGGTGGATGAAAGGGACGAGGTGGCCGCTCTCTTTGAGAAGGTTAGCTTTGACTTTTTATTGCCGTTAAAATTAGCTAAATAAAATACCTTTAAGTAAGTTAATTCTATTTTTCGGCCAGGGCAAGCTAGCAGAGATTTTTGGATTTTGGATTCATCGTCTCTTGTTCCAGGTGGAAAGCCTCCGGCTGGACCCTCGTGAGATGATGTTCCTGAAGACGATGGCATTGGCAAAGTGTGAGTTGGAAGGGAGGGGGAGACTGGTTCTGGGGAGTGCGACTCAGAATGGATGCCAAAAATAGCGGCAGCTTTATTTGTTTAAGACAAGAAGCCGGCCAGCCAAAAAGCTTCCCGTTTGAGGAGGGGGAGGTCGGAAAGTTCCGGAATTTACTCTGGACGGCCTTCAATTCAGAGAGTGGGAGAGAGAGAGAGTGAGAGAGACAGAGAGAGAGAGGGAGGGAGAGAGAGAGAGAGAGAGAGAGAGAGAGATAGAGAGAGAGAGAGTGATAATGAAAGTGAGAGAGCACGAGAGAGAGATAGAGATCTAGAGAAAGCGAAAGAGAGACAAAGAAAGAGGGGAGTGAGAGAGAGAGAGCGAGAGAGAGAGAGACAGGGAGGGTGGGAGAGAGAGAGAGAGCCAGAGAGAGGGCGAGAGAGGGAGAGAGAGGGAAACAGAGAGAGAGAGAGAGAGAGAGAGAGAGAGAGAGAGAGAGAGCGATAGAGCATGAGATACCAGATCTGAAGTGTCACTCCCTCTTTAAACCTTTCATTTCCAGCCCGCACCGGCCAATTCGAGCAACTCGCCCTCCACCTCGTCGCCTATCACCAAATTGCATATGCTGGACAACCGTTCAGGTCAGTTTTTGAGGAGGGCAAGCTAGCAGTGATTATTTGAGGAGGAATGGGGCAAACTAGCAGGGATTACTTAGGCGAAATTTAAAATTTAGAGAACAGTCGCCATATTTTCAGATTTATGCGTTGTGTCGAGTTGGTCTCGACGAGCTGTGAGAATGCAATTGTGGATCTCCTCTTCAGGCCCTCAATCCGAGACGCATCTATGGCCAGGCTCATCGGTGGGTTTTAAGAGGTGTCAGTAGGAAAGTAACGTACTACCGTATTACGCCAGAGCTGCGGTTAACAAAGTACCGTAATCATTTCCATGTCTAAATCTCGATCTTTTCAGCGGATCTTCTCGTCCCTCCTCCAACCCCTCAACTTACCATGCCAATCAATCCATTCGCTCTGGCACAACAATTCGCCCTCCATTCCCTCAATCCATTCCAATCAGGTTTGACAGTTTAAGGTTATGAGTTTTAAATGGGCTTCGAAGCGATGAGCTTTAGAACCCATTTTAAGGAAAAAATTGTGATGTCACACTCTCTTAGAAAACTTTTAAAGGCAGGGCGAGCTCGTAGTTTCGCAAAAATTAAAATCTGTGTTTTTCAGGCGTCCAATGCCAACCCGGCTCCTCCACCTCGCCCTCCTCGATCTCTGAAGGAGCACCATCTCCCCTTTCTGAACCCCTGAATCTGGCTGAAAACCTGAAGAGAAGAGGCCCGAAGATAGAGGTCGATCTTGATGAGGTCGGTTGGTAAATGGTCTCTGCTAGCATGCCTGGTTTCCTAGTTTCCAAAGGGCCTCTGCTAGCTAGCCTCCAACGTTGAAAATCCTCAAGAATCTCTGCCATATCCCTCTGAAAAAGTAACAATTCCACAACGAACCTTGCTAGTTTGCCTGTATTCTGCCGAGCTTCTACAAGAATCTTTGCTAGTTTGCCTTTCCCCAAGAAGCTCCGCTGTCCAGTTACGATATGAAATCCATACTTCATTGCATTTAAATGTTTCAGGAAGACTCGAAAAATGATGGCGACTTGGAGACGACCGCTGAAGAATAATTCCATAGATTTTTTACTGCTTGCCACTCCTAAATGGTGCCCCTATCATTTGAATACCGTAGTCCTCAACGATAGCTCTTTCTTGCCGTATAAAAGTTGCCCTTTCTACCGTAATCCACTTGCCAAAATGATCAAATCTATTGTGAAATTGCATATTCGCTTGTGTATTTGAGATTTTGTCTCTCCGTCTCTCTCTCTCTCTCTCTCTCTCTCTCTCCTTTCTCTTCCTGTCTTCAAGCATTCCACAAAATCTGGTCCTTCATGTTGGAAATTTGCATTTTCTTATCCTCGAATTCCCCCTCAAAATTTCGATTAGAATTTTTATATTATTTTTGTGCATGCAAATTAGCAATTCTGTCTATCTCATTTGAATATTTATATATTTGAATATTTCTGCGAATAAACCAAACAAAAGAATAGAAATCGACGGCGTAATACTGTAGAAGAGGCACCGGATGTTGTTTAGAATTTGATAGCAATTTTTTGAAATCCATTTAAAGGCGCCTGGAAGGCAAAAATTAGCATGCTGAGCAGAATGCCCATAAATTCCTGAACGATGATGGGCACAACCGATTGTTTTAGACAATTTTTAGACGGCGCAAAATTCGACTTGGTCCATGGGAGGGGCAAAAAAAAACAACGAAATTAGCATAAATTTGAATAATCGGGAATAATGGTCGAATTTTCAGAAATAATACAAATTTAAATAAATTTAATTAGAATATGTCGGTCTCGATCTTGACGGAACTTCTGATGATGGTCGGACGACGACGGGATGGGGCTCGAGGGCTGGAAACGGTCAATTTATGGAAGCAGGCTAGCGGAGATTTTTCAGGAGAAAAAGGCGAGCTAGCAGACGTGCTTTATCGAAAATTAAGGGCAAATTAGCGAAGATTCTTTACGAAATCCAAAGGAAAACTAGCGGATATTCTTTAGGAAATTTAAGAAATCCAGAGGCCAGTTAGCAGCGATCCCTGTGGAAATCCACAGGCAAACTAGCGCAGATTCTTTAGGAAATGGGCAGGCCAGCTAGCAAAGACCTTTAGGAAAATTATATGTTAGCTTGCAGGGATTCTTTAGGAAATCGAAGTCCAGAGGTCAGCTAGCAGAGATTCTTTAGGAGATCCATAAACGGGAGTTGCTAGCAGAGATCCTTGCGGAATTCTCAAGGCGAGCTAGCCGAGATTCTTTGGGAAATCCAGAGGCAAGATAGCGGAGATTTTTAGGGAATCGATAGACGAGCTAGCAAAGATTCTTAAGGAAATGCAGACGCCAGCTAGCAGAGAGCCTTTAGGCAGAGGCAGGAGGCAGGGCCACCTAGCAGAGATGATTGAGGAAAAGATTTTGCGTCTGCAGAAACCCACCGTCCCTTGGTCGGATGATTCAAAACACCAAAAACAGGTGGCGATGACATGTCTATCGCATATTCATCCCGAGAAGGAGAGAACGATCTGGAGAATCTAAACCCATTCCCCAAATTTCCTTTGCTAGTTACCGTTCATCAGATGAAGATAAATCTTCCGAAGATGCGACTGGAGCAAGAGAGGGGAGCTCGTGGGTCAGCTTGTCCCTAAAAGACAACTAGAAATTTGGCTGGGTTACGGTACTTTTCAGTGGACAGGAAATCGAGTTGTTCCTCGAAGAGCATTTTGCATTGTTCATGGGAATCGGCAGATGGGCCACGGGTCATGTGTTCCGTGATTTTACGGATGTTTTCTTCCACCTGAAAAAATTGAATTTTACGCTCTCTCTCTCACTCTCTCTCTCTCTCTCTCTCTCTCTCTCTTTCTCTCTCTCTCTATCTCTCGCTTTCTATCTCTAGCGCTAGCTCGTCTTTTAGCTAGTTATTGTTCTGGCACTAGCTTTGATTCTCTCACTCTCGGGTCAACTCTCGCCATCTCTAGCTCGCTATCTAGCTCACTCTCTCTGTCTCTTTCTCTCGCTCTCTCTCGCTCTCTCTCACTCTCTCGCTCTCTCTCGCTCTCTCTTTCTCTCGCTCTCTCGCTCTTTCTCTCTCTCTCTCTCGCTCTCTCTCGCTCTCTCACTCCGGCTCTCTCTCTCTCACCTTCTCCTGCGCAGCTTCCAACTCCACAATATTGATCAGCGTCGCCTTATACTGTCTCAGCTTCTCTTCTATTAATGCTTGGACGCAGACTGCTTGCCTTGAGACCTAAATTACTCTCGATAGTCACTGACTCTCTCTCTCTCTTAATTCCTACATCAATCAATGTATCCTGTGCATGAACAGCATGCTGTCTCCTCATCAAACACGGACCAAAAACGAGCGCCAGATTTGAGGGGCCCATCCGGTTCACTGGTTCCTGGAAAGGGGTACGGTAGCTAGGTTACAATTCAGAGTTCTACCTGATGTGCAACTCGAGCCAAATGATACATCAATCGATCGAGAACATTTTTGTTGTGTTTTGGCAGGAGTTCGACCATGACGGAGAGACAGCGCACTCGCTCGGCAACGGCTGTTACTTCTAAAAAACTGCACTATACCCTTAAGCTCCCGTTTGACATGTCATGCTCCCTTTAAAATATTTTTTAGAGGCCATGCTCCCTTTAAAAAGAAATTTTAGGATGGCGAAATTCTTCAAAAAAGCTTTCTTTTGAAGTCCTGTTCCTTTTAAGGTTATTTCCCATGCGTCAAGTCCCCTTTAAAACATGTTTTGTGTCCCAGTCCCTTTAAACACTCCAAAAACCCACCAGAAACATTCAGAAAATTTTCGTAGAGATCATAGGTGATGAGGGGATCGGGTAATTCTCGAAAGAACGATTTCACCAAGGCGGAGAGCACATGAACAGGCATATCATCTACTGACAGTTGATCGGCGTCTACAAGTAAAATTCGGAATTTTTGACCAATTTCTACAGCATACCTGGTGCCGTTTCGATGGCTCTTCGCGACGCTCGAACCTGTGCCATACTGCCGCTTTTCCTGAAAAATGCTTGTGTGGTGCGAAAACTTGCTTATACGGACCGCCCTTCAAAGTCGCAAATTCCGATACGCTACCTGTACAGCCCCTCAACGAACAGCGCCCTCAACTCGATCGTCGTCAGCAGTTTGTTCAGAATCGTTGGAAGGCCCTAAAAAAGAAAAAATGAGCTAGCCAGCTAGCAGCGATTATTAGGGAATTCCAGAATTCTAGTAATTACCTGCTCATCCTCCGCCAAGGCAGTGAGAGCAGCTCCGAAGAAACGACCGCCACTTGACTGAAAATAGGGATAGAGAGAGACAGCGAGAGAGAGTGAGAGAGAGAGAGAGAGAGCAAGAGAGGGAGAGAGAGCGCGCGCGCGAGAGAGAGAAAGCGAGAGCGAGGAAGCGAGAGCGTGATTGAGCGAGAGAGAGATAGAGAGAGAGACAGCGAGAGAGATAGCTAGAGCGAGAGAGCTAGAGAGATAGAGAGAGACAGCAAGAGAGAGAGAGAGAGAGAGAGACAGCGAGAGAGAGAAGGAGCAAGCTAAATACGATTGCGCGTTTAGCATAGAAATATACCGTCTGTGCCCCGGGTGGTAACATACAAGGGGCCGTGATTTTTGTGTGGCATCGTTTGTGAACCTGCAAAAGATAGAATTCCGGTAATTTCTAGGTAGCTAGCAGAGATCCTTTGCGGAATTCGGCAATATTCTGCTTACCGATATTCGACAAGTATTACAGATGAATATCTTCTCGGCATGCCACATGAACTCGTTGCAAAGCTCGCAGTACGTCGGAACGTGCACAAAATCGCCGCGGAAGCGATGGCCGGCGTGGATCTGAAAAAAGGAAATCTCTCACTCTCTCTCTCTCTCTCTCTCTCTCTCTCTCTCTCTCTCTCTCTCTCTCGATCTGTCTCTCTATCCCACTCTCGCTTCTTTCTCTCTTTCGCTGTTTCTCTCGTCTAGAAAGCATGAAAGAGGGAGCCAGGGAGATAGCGAGAGAGAGAGAGAGAGAGAGAGAGAGAGAGAGAGAGAGAGCCAAGGAGAGCGAGGAAACATGAGAGAGCCAAAGGGAGCGCTTCTAAAGGACTAGTACAGTCGCAAAACAAAATTAAACCAACTTAAAACAAAAAAATGTTTTAAATGCTCACCACAGTAACATCAGACCGCCGCCGCTTCTTACGGTAGCTCTAGAAATTAATAAAAATCATGACAAAATATATAAATCAAGATATCAGTGCAATTTCACCAAGTTGTGCTGAAACCAATTGATAGCGTTTTCTAAATTCTGTCCCAATCACAGTCTACCGTACCCGGATGATGCCGCCCGTTTTCTGCTTGTTCTTCTTGAGCTTCGACTGCTGGGCGACGAACTCGTTGAGGAAGCCGCGGAATGCGTTGACGCCGAGAGGGAGGGGGAAGGTGACTTTTTCTTCGCGGCATACCTGGAAATGGGGAATTTCCTCAAGAATCCCTGCTAAGCACCCTTTTTGGGCCTGCAGGAAAGCCTCAGTGGTCTCTGCTAGCCTGCCTGGCACTGTATTCCGAAGGTTCTGGTGCTTTAGCGGGGGGGAGGTATTGGGAGTTTACCCGCGATATCCCACTTTCCCTCCCCCGTTAATGGACCAGAACCATTCCGAGCTTACAAAATCGTCACAAATGGTCTCTGCTAGTTTGCCTTGAGTCTTTGAGGCTTGAATTCCCCGATGGTTGCTCCTAGCCTCCCCTTGACGCGCTGTTTTCAAAAATGTTGTCTGCTAGCTGGCCCATAGCCGTCCAGAGCCCATTTTCGTCATTGCTTTGCTAGTTGACCTCTTGCTGGGTCTGCAAGGATCCTCAATTGTCTCTGCAAGCCTGCCTCCATCTTCCTCAAAAAATTCTGATGGATTGCCCTATGTTTGCTCCAAAATCGCCTTCCTAAGGATCCTCTGCTAGCCTGCCTTGCGTATTTTCAAATACACTGCTAGTTAGCCTCAATTTCCTCAATAAAGCCTGCTAGGCCGCCTAAAATTGTTGGTTCGCACGTATAAAGCTCAAGCTCAAGCTCAATCTCAACAAATTCTCTTGTCCGCTATGACATATGTTCATCCTCAAGGATCTCTGAAAGCCTGCCCAAATTCCTGAAATATCTCTGCAAGTTACCTTTGTCAACAGCCCTTCAAAAGTGGTGATCAGATCCTTATACCGTAACACGGTTCCCTCTTCTGTCAATATCGCCTCGTATCCGATCAATTCCATGTGGAATTCACGCATCGATTTTTTGAACAATGAATCCACGATTGTATCTCGCTTCTTTTTGTCCTAAAAAAAAATTTTTTTGGAATTTTAGGCGCTAAAAGGACTGACCTGGTCCAAGTTGTTGAGCTTTTTGAACATGAACACCGAGAAAAGGCGCAAATCTTCTACCGATTCCACCACCATACTCAGCGGATCCGTCTGAATTGGAATATTTTGATCCTAAAGGGATTGGAAAGACAAGGAAAGTTGCCATAGATTCGGCTTTGATTACGTAATGGATTACGGCAGGATAATCAAGGCAATTGAACCTAAAGGAACAGACAAGGCATTGCTATGGATTTTCATGACTTGTCAATACCTTTAAAGGCCCCCTGAAGTAAAAATTCCTATAATAACCGACCTGTTCCTTCGTCCTGAACAGGTTGAACTTGGTGTGCTGTTGACCGGACGGGGGTTGGGTTGGGGATTGACGGACTGGGGGAGGACGGTGATTTCTAGACGAGCAACAGTTTTTATAAATTGACCCGTCTACCGTATCTCCCAAGGTCTTCTCGGGGGTTCGAGACGGGTTGGCGAACGAAGTGGAGAAGTGGGTGAGCAAGGCATTGAGGGGGCAAAGGCTGAGCATTCTTTGTGGAATGTCATCTTGCAACCTAAATTGGAGGGGGTAGGTTGGCGGAGATTCTTTGGGAAGGGGTGGGTGGCTAGCAGGGCACATTTGGGAATAGCTTTGGATCTAAAGCGGTACTGAGCTATTAGCGGGGGGTGGGGATAACTTTGTTTTCTCCTATTTTTACCTGTTGAAATTAATATAAAAATTTACCGGTTTTTTAGGAGTTTTTAATTACCAAAAAATGTAAAATTACTTGAAAATTCGAAAATTTTAACCTTTTTGGCCATTTTTTGTATATTTTTGAAGAATAAGCTAAAAAATTGTTCTAGGTCACCCCCGCTAACGTCCAAGTACTTCTAAAGTTCCGACCAAAGGGGGATGTTCCGGATTTTCCGAATTTCGACCGGGTCAGGCTCGAAAAAAACTCACGTGAACATTTATGAGCTTGAACCAGCAGCCCTCCGACCACTTTTCCACAAATGGCACACGGCTCCGCTTTTCTCAACCGTTGCACCTTCAAGCAATGAGGCTCCGGACCGGTCAGGGTACTGCAATCCATTAAAAGTAAGGCATCTGAACCTACCTGGTCGATGGATGGTCTTCCTCCCCATCCGAAGCTGCTCCACTATCACTCCTCCTCCCAAATAACCCTCCAACAACCTCCTTCAAATTCTTCTTCGCCTTCTGGAACCCAATCTTCCCGCCGAGGGCCTTCTTTTTGCCGATGGCCGACGAGAGCTCAAAATAGGATGGGTAAGCAAAAAAGTAGTTATAGAACTTTTTCGAAGTCAGTATTTTCAAACCGAATCATGATTTTGCAAAAAAATTATTTTCCGTCAAAATCCAGCCTATAGCTCAGTGGATAGCGAGCGGGATGTCAAGCTACCGGTCGCAGGTTCGACCCCCCCGCCCGCAGCAGACTTTTTGTTTTTGCCTACAGGGGATGGGAAAGTTCACCTGTGGATCTGGGGTGACGATTAAACCGGAAACCGGTTACGACAGGTTTTCTACCGGCACGTTTTCTACCGGTTTTAGTTTCCGTTTTTTCAATTTTTTAAGCCGTTTTTCGTAAATTTTAAATTTTCTGCCACGTTTCATCGTTTTTGCCAAGGTTTGATTCATAAATGTTCGAATTCTAACTTCAGAACCCCTTTAAAGCCGACCTCATCCAAAGTTCGTAACGTTTCGCCCTTCCTCGCAATCTGATCACTCTCCGTACTCGCCGCCCTTCGAAGCATCTTTAGCTTTGACGTCGACGCCGTGGCGGCAAGGCTTTGTCGGCGGTGGAACGCGTTTTCGGGACCTTCCCTATAAAATTATATTTTTGGGTTTTCGATCTATATTTTACTCTATCAATTTCAACTTCGTGTCTTCCAACGTGAACTCCACGTCCAGATCCACGTTATCGTCCCTGCAAAACAATACTTTGAGGTTGTTTTAATTCTTAAAGGACTTTTGAAGACCGAAGATGAGCAAAGAGCCTTGTCCTACACTTTCTTGCTCATTTTAGCTCATTTAACAGGGGTCAAACCATGAATAAACGTACGGAAAAGTGCCAAAAACATCTCCCTCCGACGGTGTCAAATCGAGACCGTCATCCGATTCGTCTTCCGATGAGCATTCATCAGAAGACGTTGCAAACTGGAAAATCGTAGAATTTTTTGGCAGGTGATGGAAATTCTCTTACCTCAGCCAATGAAGCCGGGTTGGTCAAGTCGAATTTGGGCAGTTGGAAAGTGTGGATTTTCGTGATGTGGAAACGGTTGAAGCCTTTTCGGGGGATATCGCCGATTCTGAAATGGGAAAGGAGGGATAAACGATTACGATGGGAAAATACGATTGCGTTTTTCTCTCGTTCTGGCCACGGCATAAAATAAGTTTTTACAACGCGACGCCTTGATAATCGATGTCCCCTGATTTGTAGGCGATTACGACATGAAATTCGGGCTCAGGTCGTTCGATACCCTATGAAAATCCGAAATTCTACCTCTTTCTTGTCTCCGCTCCTCTATATGCCGCTTGCAGTGCGATGATCGTCGCTCGGAGCTGTTTGTAGCGCATCTCATCGCGATACCTAAAAAAACGAAGTATAAAGGGCCATTGAAGACACTTTTTCACTATAGTTGAAGGGCTAGTAACCTCCCAAGTAGCAAATCGAGAGTTTGTTCATGGTTTAAAGGAGGGTTGAAGCCACTGACCGTCTCCAATTGGTCTGTATCACCATGGCAGCATAGCTCTGCTGTCGTAGCTTATTTCTTAGTTGCATCCCACGGAACATTGCTTGAATACGAACTACACCAGCACGAAGACGAAGATACTTCTTGCGAGCGAGGACCGTACGGAACCAACTAAAAAAAGATACTTATCTTTCACCTTAAAAAAACTATTCTCACCGTTGCAGCGTGACAATATGATGCATAATCGTTCGATGCAGAAATTCGTCCAAAATCAATTTTTCCGCATCTCGCATGAATACCTTTAAAATTTGATTTTAAGTGAGTTTCATCGTACCTTTGTCAATCCATACTGCACATTCTCTTCTTGAATTTGTGGATGATTTCTGATGAATGTCTGAACATCTTCGACACGACTATCTAAGCCTCCAGGTAATAGGATACGATATTGGTTGATGAATGCCTAAAAAGGAGGTAATTTCCTTGAAGAATCTCCGCTCGTTTACCATGCCTTGCTCCCCAATCTCTCACCTCGTACTCAATCCTGACGCTATATCCGGCCCTTCTGATCCTGACCGTCTCCAACATTCCCGTATATCTCAGTTGTCGCAAGATAATATCCTCATCAAAGTGGTTGGCTATCTGAAAATCGTAATTTCGCTGATACCCGCGCATTAATGATATACCTTTTCGTTGTTGCTCTTAATACATCGGATGAAATATGGGGTGGCCGAGCTGAGGGTTGACATTAGACTGAAAATTAGATGGATTACATGGGCTTAGGCTTGGCTTCTGACTACCTTACGCGTGGCCTAGACTTAGCTGAGCTTAGGCTAGGGTAGGATTAAGCTTACAAACCTACCGGATCAAGCTGTATTCAAATTGACGCGAAACGGAGGTCGGTTTTTGAGAGGTGACGCCACGCTTTCGGCCCATAGCGTCGCGTAGAATCTGAAAAATGAGCTTTTTCTTGTTATCTCTCTCTGACTCTCTCTCTCTCTCACTCGCTCGGTCTCTCTATTTATTTCTCGCTCGCCTGCCGTACCTGTAGACTTTTAAGCGTAGACAGTCTTTCCTTTTGCGGCCGAAGCATACTCCTTCTAGCTTGCGACGTGATCGTCCCGAATACGGATGTATCGCAGAAGTCGGGGATTGACAGTCTGAAAAAATTCGGTGTGACTTGACGTGGTTATCTTAATTACACCTTATTTAATTTATTAATTTAATTTTTTAGACTAATTTACTCATGGTTTTGGAAAGCGAGCCAGCAGAAAACCTTGTAGAAAATCTGTCCGCGTCCCTTTAAAAGCGCGACCCTGACTTACCGTAACTCTCCACGCAAAAATGCGGACAATTGTGAATCGCTGCTCCTCCTCCCTCTAGCCACTCCCTCGTCCTGAACTCCTAGATGACCGGCGCTTTCTAAAGCCGAGGATTTTTCAGATGTCACCACCCCTTTAAATACCGCTTCTCTGGATCGTACGGGCAGCTTGTTTGAAGGCTTGAAGAGCACGGAAAACGGATCGGACGAGGGTCCATCTAAAAATGAAAAATGGCAAAATTGGGTTACGGTAGCATCAATTGAAAAATTGCGCTATGACGTTAAAAACCAAAAAAATGGAAAAATTGGACTACGGTAGCCGTAGAATTAAAAATTACCGATATTTTCGAAGATCAAAATACGGCAATTCGGACTACGATAATAATTGCAAAATCTCAAAAATTGCGAATGACTGGACTACGGTAAACGCAAACCGTTTTAAAATGTTCGATTACGATATCTAAAACCGAATAAAACTGAAAAAAATTCAAAAAATCCTAAAGAGTATGAAAAGTACGCTACACTCCGCCTAATACGAAACGCACCTATAGACAGCCACCGGATCAGAACCGACCAACTCGCGGACGACGCCATATTTCGAATTTTTCAGCGTCACCAGCACGTCGTGGCGCATCAGATCTTTGTTCTTTTCCCGGAATCCCTAGAAGAAATTAAATTGGTGTAAAGCAGTATAGGCCTTTGGCTTCAGAAGTCTTTAGGTTCAAATTCTTAAAATACACTCCACCTACCGTAATCTGGTACTTGACTTTGCCGGCATAGTGAGCCACGATGAAGGCCTTCTCACGTTTTTGGGGCATCTCGTAGAATTCGTTGTTCTGGAAAAGGAGGGGTTACTGTTTTTGTTTCTCTCTCTCTCTCTCTCTCTCTCTCTCTCTCTCTCTGTCTGTCTCTCTCTCTCTCTCTTCCCCCCCCCTCACCTTCAAGAATTGATTCAGCTTGTCAAGCATGGATTGGTCCGTGCCGTTGTGAATATTGGATTCCTCATCGATTAGTCGCAAAATACCGTACGGTTTTGCCTGAAAAATTGAATATAAATTTTTTAACAAATAAGACGTTTTGACGACGATAAGACAAATGTCAAAATTAAATAAGATAAATGTATTACCTGGAATAAATGGAGGCATTCCGTGTTGTCGGTATATTCAATATTCGTCCAGCTGATGCCTTCTTTTAGGTATTCTTCCTGAAGAAATTAGCATATTTCTTTCTCAGTCTCTCTCGTTCTCTCTCTCTCGCGCGCGCTCTCTCTCTCTATCGTTCCCTCACTGACTCTTTCTCTCTCTCACCGTCTGTCTCTCTTTCCCTCTCTCTATCTCTCGCTCTGACTCTCTCTCTCTCTCTTACTCTCTCATCCTCACCCTCACTCTCATGCTCTCTCTCTTTTCCCACACCTGCTCAAATTGGAAGATATGCTGATTAAAGTAGGCCTGCAAATGCTCATTTGCATAATTAATACAAAGTTGCTCGTAGGAATTCTTTTGCCCTCCAACGTCTTCAAATCCAAAAATGTCCAGGATTCCTGAAAAACAAAAGTATATACCATAAAGCTACCGAAATTCACATTCTTTAAAAATAGTTACTTTATTTTTTCAGCTAGCTTGGTTGTGAAACTATAACTAGTTCTTAAAACCTATAAAAAATATATACAAAATCACTATGCGAAACTACAAACTACAAACCGATGTAATATCCATTCGTTGGTGACTGGGCCCTGAGAAGTTGTTGATTGATGCGGAGGACGATCCAGTGGAAAAGGGCATTGTATAGGCATTTGGCCATGGCATCTCGCGTATTTGTCGCCTAAAATATTTACTTTACTTTATAAACAACTTTAATCCTACCTCCGATACGCTATACCTCGAGATTACGGTATCATTCTTCGTGATCGTGCGCTTCATAGTAAGGGCCTGGAAAAGGCTATTAATACGTAAAATAAAAAATCAGTTGTTTGTTCCCCAAAGACACCTTTAAAAACGTATTTCCTAGATTCTGGCCAAAAAGCAAAGGCAAATGCCGCGAAAAGGATTGAACCAGGGCCCTGAGATCGACAGGCAGACATCCTACCAATTAGCCAAAAGGGCGACCGACCTGGGAGAGATGATCGGCCCTGATATTCAACAGCTTCGCCACCAACCCCACCACCTCCTCATTTTCGATGTAGGCCGCCTCGTCGCTGTGGTAGCCTTGGCGCTGTAATTTGCATAAATCGGCGTAAAATTCGTAAACTATTTAAAGTATTTAATTACTACAATTTGATGTCATATAATTATGTATACATTTATGAAATGTGTTACTTTAAATAAATAAATAAAACTAATAAGAATATATCAAAAATATAACAGACACATACCTTAATATATTTAATATTTCCCAGCAACAGTACAGCCGATATAATGGCTTGTAGAGTGTGTTGCGTAGTGGGTGGGAAGCCAACGGCCAGCATCGCCTGAAAATGAAATGTCACCGTCCCTTTAAAAATCGTTTTTCTCTATGTCTCCCTCTCGCTCTCTATCTCTCTCGCTGTCCCTCTCTTCCTCTCCCTTACCTGTTTCAACCTGCCCCATTCATATTTCTCATTCACACCCTCCGTCGGCTCGTAGGCGTTCTAAAAAGCGATAAAAATCTATATAAACTTTATTCAAATTAGCCACCTGGTTCAAATAATTATAGTCATCCGGCTTCATAAGGAAGAATTCCTTCCTTTCCTCTTCAGTTGCACCCTCCAATAGATAGTAGAACACGTGGTAGTTCCTTTAAAGGGACCGTGAATCCAGGGATGCTATGGATTTCCAAGATTTGCAGAACCTACCTCTCGCCTACGGCCTGGGAGATAATGCGCGACTTTTCGAGCAGGTAGATTTCCACGTTGGCACTGAAAAGCTTGTAAATTTAGAGAGAGGGAGAGCGAGAGAGCGAGAGCGAGAGAGAGCTAAAAACTAAAAACTGACCCAGAAACCATGCCATTCTCTCGATAATTGACCTTGATGAACTTGCCGAACCGCGAGCTGTTGTTGTTCTGCGCCGTCACAGCGTTGCCGAAAGCCTGTAAAATCGGGTTGAAATTTTAAAGGACGAGAAAGACAGAATGAGAGAGAGAAAGAGAGAGCGAGAGAGAGAGAGAGAGAGAGAGAGAGAGAGAGAGAGCGATGAGATACCTCAAGTACAGGCCCAGCCGATAGTAACGTCTGCTCCACCGAACACCCCGTTGATCCTTTTTGGGAGAGCGTGGTGAGATGATGGAGCAAAAAATTCGTCGATTCCGTTTTTCCTAAAAACGCGAGATGCCATTTTCCAAACGGTTAGTAGTAAAAATTACCGTACCTGATCCACTTTCTCCGGAAATGACGACGCATTGATTTTCTTTGATTCGCAGCATACTAAAAAAAGCTCTAGAGTTTTTGATAGAGGCGAGCTGGCAGAGGTTCTTTAGGAAAAGCCGAAGCCTTGTTGGCAGAGATGCTTTAGGAACTAATTAAAGTTCATAAAATCGCCTACTTATGGTATGTGACATCCGCAATGGCAAAGATATGAGGAGGCAGTGATCCGAGTGCCGATGAACAGTACAACCTCGCGTATTTCGGGTTGTAAATCGGGAAAAAGCTAAAAAACTAATTTACGCAATTTTTAATTGATTCCGTACCTGAACGGGTTGACGGCCACTAAAATTGGACCAATGTAAGTGTAGATGTGGCCGCTGTTGAATCTGAAAGCAAGGAATTTGCATATATCTTTTCTCTCTGTCTCTCACTATCTCGCTTCTTTCTCTCTCGCTCACTCTCTCTCTCTCTTTCTCTCTCGCCCTCGCCCTCTCTCTCTACCTGTCTCTCAAATTATCCAGCAGCGTCTGTTCCGTCAACTCCGGCAAATTGCACAAATCCGCGTATTCTCGATCCTGAAAAAATTTTAGAAATGTCCTCAATAATCCGTGCTGGTTTGCCTTCCAGTTTCCTCAAAATTATCCGC